TTTTTTTTTTTTTTTTTATCTGAGAAGTATGTATTCATTTCAGATGCCCATTTGAGATTGGTTCTTTACATTTGGGGTTCTGATTTTTTAAAACTCCTTATAAATTCTGCACAATAGATCTTTGTTTTAGGGAGACCTAGCTGATTTTTTCCCACCCTGTGTGTGGGCTGTCCCTTCATTCTGTTAGTTGTTGCTCTTGCAGTGTGAAAGATTCTTACTAAGATGAGATTCCCGTGACCGATTCTCAGCGATATTTCCTGTGCAGCCGGAGTCTTGGTCATAAACTCTTGGCCTGCATCTCTATCATCGACTATTATTCCTATTTTAGTTTTTGGCAGATTTAGCTTTTATGTTTTAATTTTTAGAACTTTGCTCTCTTTTAGTTTTAGTTTAGTGCATGGAGATGGACAGGGGTCTAGTTTTAGTCTTTGGCATGTCTGAATGTGGTTTCTCCATCACCGTTTATGAAAGATGCTTTTTTTCTGGTGAATGTGTTTGGTGGTTTGATCAAGGACAAAGTGGCTGAAAGTGTTCAGATTTGTTTCTCTATCTTCTGTACTGTTCCATTGATTCTTGGCTTTGATTTTGCCTTAACATTTTTTTTTGTTTGTTTTTTTTTTTTTTTAATCACAGTATCTTTGTAGCATAATTTCAAGTCAGGGACTATGCTGATCCGTGGCTTGCCTTTTGTACCAGCATGTTTTTGCTCTACTAGGTCTCCTCTAGGTCCAAGTGAATTTTAGGATTGGTTTTTGTAATCCTTGTGCTATGTTGTAGAAATTGTCTAATGCATTATGTTTACCAATTTAATAATTTTGTGAGTGCAACCATCTTCATTATGTTCATTTCGATCCAAGAAAAATGGCTATCTTTTCATTTTTTGATATTATCTTCTATCCTGCTATGGGAACAGTGTTATTTTTAATGTAGATGCCTTTTACTTTTTACTTTAGCAGGATCCCTAGGTATTTCCTCTTTGGGAAATTGTTGGGAAAGGTGTTGTTCCCCTAGTTTCTCTCTTATTGAGTTGTGATTCTTCTGCAGAGAGGCTACTGAGAGTTGAATGTTTACTTTTGATGCAACTGGGCTACTGCTGTTGGTTATTAATCCTAGAAGTCTCTTGGTGGTGTTTGAGGAGTCTGCGACATAGAGTACCATATCGTCCGTGACAGTTTTTCCTTTCCTATCATTATTCCTTTTGTTTTTCTCTTGTCTAACTCTTCTATCTAATATTTCCAGAACTATAGGGAATATGAGTAGTGCCAGTGGATATCTGTGTCTTGT